TAGTGTAAACATCGAAATCACTCGTTTCCTTCAATGATCTCTAAATGAAGAAATTTTCACCCCTATCATCTTATTAATTTATCATCGGTGATTCGAACTTGTATTATAAAGCCATATAATTTCCAATAAAAAGATCTTGAATTGGATATAATTTGTTTTAATTTAATTTTTCAACCAATTTTGGAGAATAGACATATTTTAGACTTGAATTCACATTTTTTATATAATTTTTAGATGTATATTTGATTGCAAGCCTAATATTTTTGTAACATTTGTATGGTTGGCCAAATATAACCAAAAATTTAATTTCAATATTTCTGAAACTTATAAAAATATAAAATAATTAAGACATCACACTGACGTCAGCATATATTTGAGAACAGTCCAACCAATCCAAGTTTAACTAAGTCACTATCCGGTCTGAGTTTAGTTGAGCCACTATCCTGCCCAGTTGTTTAACTGAGTCACTATCCAGTGAGTTTAATAACATTGCTTCAACTAAGTTGATTTTAAAGAAAAGATCTTTTTAACGGGTACTCATTAGATACTTGTTAAGATATATTTTAGGTATCATATTTTGAGAAATGTAAGATTAATTAGAGAAACTAAATAAGTACAAGGGAGGCCAGATAAGATAAAATAGGGAAAGTATATAAATGAGAGAAAAAGTAATAATTGTTAGTACGTGGATATACACGATAGATTAGATGAATTTTAAATGTATTAACAAGCATTCAATGAGCACCTGTTAAAAAAATCCTTAAAGAAAATACTATCATAATTTAAGATTAATAATACTCGTTTTCCATCGTATTATCGATAAACTAAGTCATACTAATAATTTTCACAATAAGGTTAATGAAATTGGGTATTACGTGTTCTTCATTCCTTTACACCATGCATGGCCACTTTTAGACAAAGAAGCCACATCACATGTTGGACTTTGTCCGTTCCACAAACACAATCTCCACATGGTAGTCACAAAGCTGATACGAAATGCTTATCTTAAGGTGTAAAGGTATGAATTGTACGTCAGCTATTCATATACGTAGTAGTGCTTGCTTTGCATTCACGATAACACTTTAATCCCCAAATGTCCACTTCAACTTTAAATAATTCCAACCGAAAAAAAATTGAAAGTGTTGGACAAATTGAAGTGCAAAAAAATCGAATATATTTCTCATTTTAATTTACAAGGGGACTATGCCTATGTTTATAAGCTTGTACAAGATGAATCTAGACAACTAATATATTTAGAGGTGTTAAAAAATAACTGAAAAAGTGGGTAATTGAGAAAATCAAATTGGTCAAAACCAAAAAATATGGTAACCAACCCATAGTTTTCAAAATGGTTAAATTAAATGAACCTACTCGAAAAATTAGGGTAGGGTATAGTTTTCAATTTTCTATAACCGCGGTTACCCAAACCTACCTGCATATGTGTAAGGTTGGTTAAAATAGTTAGTATCCAAATCTCAACCTATAATTTTTGAGTAAATCTTATATACACTGACAATGCATAAACTATCACCATTGGATCCATGACACATGTGCAAAAATTAAATTTTAAATTCAAATTTTGCATAGTTGTTATTCATCCAATGCTGACAGTATATACACTGTCAGTGTATGAAAGATTAATCTATAATTTTTTAGTCATTTACTAATAATTTAAATTACGAAACCCATGCCATTATGCATTTTACTTTTCACAACTTGTATATTTAACCTTATCTTTGATTTACTTTTTCCATTTTCTATATTTGTTGTCACTAATTTCATTAACACTATTATTCTATTTTTTGTCTTTCTTCAAAATTTCTTTTCTTTCTCATAAATTCTATCCATTTCACCACTCTATTTTTTTTTTGTTTTTAATTTTTATAGCTTACATGTTTGGTTGTGAAGCAACCTGTCATCCTTGATAAAAAAAAAATGAATTTAGCTTTCAAAAAGCTGAGGAAATGAAAACAAATGTTTAGATTATTTTATATTTTAATTATCTATTGTGATTTGATTTTTTATTTTGTTGATATTTTTTTGTTGTTGCAAGTTTAAACCCTCTTACTAATTTGGATAACTATTCTATTATTTTGTTTATTAATCTGATTCTGTTTCTCTTTTTTTTTTCCTACAAGTACAAGAGGGTTCACTTATCCTGTATACCCAGCCCTATCCTACAGGTTAACCAGTTAGGGTCTGTTTGGTTCATGGGATGATACAGAATTGGATTAATCATCCTATATCATCCCATACTTGGTTGCATTTTATAAATGAGATGACACATCCTACCTAACCGAATTAATTCCCTATTCATGGAATAAAATAATCCCATGGGGAAGATGGGATTAGTCATTCTGGGATGACTAACAGATAGGATGATAAAATTTTAGACTAATTTATCCTTACAAAAAATACAAATTTATACTTTTATAATTATATAATCCTACTCTCACATGATAATATAATATGAATGGAATAATTTCCCTCTCATCCAATCTCCAATCAAACACGTGATAGGATTATTTTCCAACATATTCTATCCAACCAAGAACCAACTAAACACTAGATAATTTGGATTATTTATCTAGGGATGACTCAATCCAGGATTAATAATCTGAGAATGAATTATCCCATCTCATCCAGTCGGTGAACCAAACGGACCCTTAGTGGTTAACTGATTGAATAGGGTTAGGATATGGAATATAATTTTGTTGAATAGCTACTTGTGGTTAGGTTCAACAAAATTGCAAATGGATCCATCAACACTCCTAAATATATTAAACCTAGATTAATCTATATAAAGTAAATTCCTATTTGACGCTGGTTAAGTAAATACCTAAGTGAGACTAATTAACAGAATATATACTAATTGAAACACCAAATCATTTACATTAATAGAAATCAACCATTTTGAATACTCAGTTGCCGTTAGTTGGTATATGTCTAGTCAATAGACCATAAAATGACTTAACCTTTTCTTAAGGAAAAGGGTTACCACATCGATTCCACATCATATGTTCAACAAATTGGTTTGTAAAAAAGCATTGCGATTATCAAAACTTTTTATATATACCCAATCAAATGAAAAGTAGAAACCATGACCATGATGTACAAATTGGCCTTTTAAAGGTAAATTGTAGGCCCCAAAAACCATCTATATTGTCTGTTCTTTTCTATTCAGTTTCATTAATCCAGTATTCTTACACGTAGTCTGGTTCTTTCTCTTCGTGGTGTGAAAAAATTCATCCGGTTATAGGTTGTAGTCATTAAATTAGGCCTGGATTTTCATCAGAAAATATGATAGGAGAAGCAAACAACAGTTGTGGACGAATATCATCTTTTCCTTGTTTATGTTGAGTTTAAGAAACTATCACATATCTAGTATGTTTTCCCATTTGGAGGGGCCAAATATGAGAGGCTGATTTTAGTATATTTAGATATAATATTATTTGAAATATTATTTAAAAATAATTATTTTAACACTTTTTGTGATATGATATATGTGAAATATAAAAGATAATTAGAAATATAAAAAGATAGTTGAAAAATATATTTATGATACAAGTAAAATAATTTTGTATCCAAACATATTAGTATGTAATGCTAATTATAAAATATTTCGTGTAAGAAACTAATGCCGTATAATGATGTCACAAAGATTGTTGAGGACCAAGATAAGCCATATTCCCGGACAATTTTCATATGTTACATTCTATTTATACTGGGTTCATGACCTAAGTTCTAAACTTTTTTGGATTAATTTTTCAAACACTATTAATAAAATTTTTTACTCTATCAAGTATGAATTTATGCTAAATAATCTTCCTTCCAATATTAAATTCTTCTTTTGCTGATTTGACATAGATCTGCGCCTACTAATGTAAAAAAAAAATCCTATATTACTAGTATAGGAAGAGTTAATCTAATATTTTTTAGTTTAGGGAACCCCTCCCATTTTCAACTGTCAGATCCAAGATTTGAATTCTGAATCTAATAGTGGGAGAAACTCTAAGAGCTCTCCCCTACACTAAAAATAAAAATCTAACAATTTTTAATAAAAAATATTTTAATTCTAAACTTTAAATTTTGTCTAATATTGGAGTTTCGTTTAAATTGCCTGCAATCAAGATTGCAACTAAGTTAAGCCAAAAAAAAACCCGCATAAGTAGCATATATGGTGAGCAAATAATCTTAATAGTTAAGACTTCAAGAATAAATTCGGGCCCCAAAAGAACTTGTCTAAACAAGTTGAATAACTTGTGCCTAATCAAAGAATTATGCAGTGTTTAAAAGTCAAATAAAATATTTCATATCTGATTAATTGCGGAACTTTTTTTTTTTTGGTAACCTGGAATATGCCCCGATTCGAACCCTTAGGATCCGAACCGGCACACCAAATCGGAGGAGTGCGCCACGACCCCACACAGCGACCTCAGACGAGTCACAGGGGTTTAAATCCAAGGTAAGATTCAAACCCAGAACCTCAAGTATCCTTGAAAGTCCGCTTACCGCTGGACCATCCCTGTGAGGGCAATTGTGGAACTTGTTAAGTTGTATTGAAGACCAAAAAAAATCAACTTCCAATGACACGGTTTTGTCGTATCTTTTGTACTATGACCGGCCTCAGGTCCATTAAGTGAAAATGAAGCGAGGTGGTCCAACACCAAAATAGCCTGTTGCCGGTGTTGGTGGTGAAGAATTTGGTGGATCCCTCAGTCTCGTCAAGTCCATAGAACCATTGAGGCCCAAATTTGCTAAGTTGCATTGCCAGTTCTTCCTTGTCCAACTTCTTCTGTCTTAAAATTTTTTCCATTTTTGCTTCCTTTTCCCTTATCGACCTCTAGAAATTTACTAGTTTCTAATTCGCTCAATTATGAATATCGATCTAATTTATTGGTCAAGGACTTTTTATGGTTGCAAGAGCAATTAGAATCTAGATCAACTTCCAATGACACGGTTTTGTCATATCTTCTGTACTATGACCGGCCTCAGGCCCATTAAGTGAAAATGAAGCGAGGTGGTCCAACACCAAAATAGCCTGTTGCCAGTGTTGGTGGTGAAGAATTTGGTGGATCCCTCAGTCTCGTCAAGCCCATAGAACCATTGAGGCCCAAATTGTAAGGATTGAAAACAACCTAAGAGGAGGAGTGAATTAGGTTAATTAAAAACTAATCAAATTATGAGACACTTTTTGGCTCGATATGAAATTTTCCCTCTTTTCTAGATGACCACACAATGAACAATTGATTAAGAAAGCAAAACTGCTCAAGAGTAGAAGAGATAATCAATTTATGTTTGTAAGATAGTAAGCACTTTCTTTTCTAAATCTTTTGTAGTCTCAATGTGTAAAAGTTATTTGAAATTTCTGACCATGCTCTATTTATAGGAGACCAAGAAAGTGTTTTGTTAATGCTTCCAACGGATAGAGAGTAGTTGAAGAGTCAACTAACCGTTAGGAGTATTGGATGTTTGGTACATCCGAAGCATGCGTCTGACAGCAGGCAGTGAATTTAAAAAATCTTCTTTAATTCTATCGGACGTCCGGTGCTTACGTTCGAAAGTAGACAATGAGTTAGAAGGAATATCTCAATTCTATCGAATATCCGATATTGTCTTTGTGAGCATCCGACAGCTTTCGTCGAGTTTGAAGGATTCTATTGGATGTCCGGTACTTCCATCCGATAGCAGGCAAAGAGTTTGAAGGATTCTATCGGACGTCCGATGCTTGCATCCGATAGCAGACAGAAATTTTGAAGAATTATCTCAATTCTATCAAACGTCTGGTATTGTCTTTGTGAGCGTCCGACAGCTTTCGTTTTCCTTTTTCTTCTTTTAAATGTTCTTTTCTTTGAATCAAATTACTTCAAGGTTGAAAGGATTTTTTAGAAAAGATATTAGTACTATTCAATTGTTTTGTAAACATCAAAAGATAAGGATCAAGATCAACATTCTCCCCTTTTTTTATGATGACAAAACAATGGATGGAAGGAAAGAAAATGAGCAGAAACTCCCCCTTACTCATAGCATCCATTTTGTAATTTCTCTCCCTTTTGTCATCATAAAAGTAGAGAGTAATTGCCATAAAAAATAACAGTAGTGGCAACCATCATCAGCCAATAACAGAAGATAACATCAAAAGATACCAAAACTAACAATGAACATCAATGTGACTAACATTCATTAGTCATTCAAAAACCATCAAAGGAAATTTAGTTCAGAGCATCAGAAATATCAAAAGCATTACAAAATACTTGTAGCAATCATACCTCTATATTTCTTCTCAATTTTCGTACTTTCTTAGGTTTGAGCCACTTGGAGCTCAAGGAAGAAATTCAACTCTCCCATCATACTCATCTCAAACTCATTTTGTATAATAGTGAAAAAATCCTTATACAAACACTCATTAGAAGCACCAAAGATAATATTATTCACATATATTTGTACAAATAAAAGATCATTTGAACTTTGTTTAGTGAAAAGAGTGGTATCCACAATGGCCTTTTTAAAAACATTCTCAACCAAAAAACTCTTCACTTTTTAAAACATTTCTAACTATCCACATGTATTTGATGCCTTTTCTCATGTTTTTTCTCACATAACAATCACTTTTCATGTGACCTTTTTGATAACAAAAATTACACATAACCAAAGAGTTATTTGCATAAACAGGTTTAATAAATCTTACTTGTTTTCTCTTATAAATAGCAAAATCATTTGCATAAGAATTTATCTTTTTCTCATAAGTGCCAAGATGAGTTTTTGATTCATTCATTTGAAAACAGTCTTATTTTTTATGTTCGAACAAATCATTTAAATTATCCGTTCTTCTTTTCAAATCAATTTATTCCTTTTTGAACATTTCATAAATTCTTGTTTTTCTATCAAGTTTATTTTGTAAATCAATCTCATTTTTTTTCAAGAAATAATTTTCAGTTTTCAGCATTTTATTTTCTTAAAAAAGGCGTGTATTATCCTGAAGAAGAAACTAATTTTGTGCTTTAATTCCTTATTTTTAGTATAAAATTCTTTCAAACTATCATGCAATTTTTTAATGAAAGATTCAAGATCATCATCAGTTTCATCATCACTTTCAAATTGAGAGTTAGAAGTCATTACCTCATTATCTTCAATAGCCATAAAAGCTAATTGATCAGATTATTCTTCCCTTCAATTTCACCATTAGAATTGCACTCATTCCATGTGAATTGAAAGTTGTTGAATCTTGATTTTCTTCCTTCTTTCTTCTTCTTCATTGGACACTTACTCATGTAGTGTCTAAGTTAGCCGCATTCATAGCATTTGTCACCTTGCTTTTTGTTGGTCTCATGTTTTCCTTTGTTTCTTGCATTATTGAACTGATTTGAAAATGAATTGTTGGGTCCTCCCTTTCTGAATCTTCTCTTGTTGAGGATTCTTTTGAAATTTCTTGTGATAAGAGCAAGATCATTGTCGTCAACTTCCGGATCGTCTCCATCCAAGGAAGCCGAGTCTTCTCCATCTTGAGATGCATTTAGAACAATACTCCTTCTAACCTTTGCATCCTCTTCCTCTTGTACATTGGTTTTAAGTTTCAACACATAAAAGGTTAGAGAATTAATAAGAGATTCAATAGGTATAGAATTCAGATCTTTAACCTCCTCAATGGCAGTCACCTTACTTTCCCAATCTTTGGTCAAGGCATTCAAGATTTTTCTATTTTTCTTACCTTGAGAGTATTCTTTCTTCAGAACTTCTAGATCCTTAATGAGGTCATTGAATCTACAATATATTTTGTCAATGTTTTCATGAGGTTCCATCTTAAATGATTCATACTTGGTAACTAGGATAGATTTTGTAGACACCAAATTTTTGTGCATTATTTTATTAGACTAGGGTTTTTATTTTTATCTTTTGGGGATGAAACCAGAAAATCAAAAGAAAAGAGAAAAGAAAAGAAAATGGGCAAAAACATGGTTTTAGGGCATTTTGGGTTATTTTTGGAAAAAGTGAAAAGTTTGAAAATTGAAGGAAAAGTTTTTTTAGTGTTAATAGAAATTATTGCTTTTTGATAAATTTTAACTATTTTCAAGAAAAGAGAAAATTAAAAAGAAAAAATTAATTTAGGGGAAAGTTGGCTTTATTTTACGTTACAAACATCTTTTGATTGCATTTTATTTTTGTTTTGTTTCTATTATTATTATTATTATTATTAATATTTTATTCAAAAAAAAAGAAAAAACCCGCGACATGCAAGCTGCGTATTTTCGCAGCTTGCAAGGAAGGGCTCGGGCAGCCCTTTGGCTGCAATTTTAGAAGAGAAGGCCGATGGTTCCAGGTGGCTAGACACCTGGCTAAATGGAGGAAGCTTCCATGCAAGGTGTAAAGCTAAAATGGAAAGGAGGAGAAGCAGCAAAGGAGGGCCGTGGGATGAAGGGTTTGGCATGAAGGTGGGTTGCATTTGGCAGTAGCCGACAGAGGAAAAAGGGGGGATCTGGAGAGAGGTTTTTTGGACGGCTAAAACTAGAGAGAGCAGAGAGAGTTTGGGGGGTTGAGGAAAGAAAGCAAAAAGGGGACGGCTGAAAATCTAAAAAAAAAGTAAGAGAGGAGCGACTAAGTTGACGACTGAGGGAGATAACAGTGAGGAAAGCCGAGAAAAATCCGAAGAAAAGGAGACGTTGAGAGAGTAAGTAGGAGAGGCGGCGGAGGAAGGAAAACTGCAGTAGCCATTGAAGTCGAGATTCACTAATGCCACCATTTCAGCGACTCCATCGCCACCAGTAGATCTTCATCGAAGGGGCAGTGGCTTGGGCTCCTCGGTAATGGTTTTATCATGAACTTAAGATGCTTGTGTGGGGTGTTTATAGCTGATGATTAAGGTAAACAAGCCCAGCAAAACGTAAATTTTTTTTCTGTTATTAGATTCGCATGACCTGTCATGTTTGCTACCATAAGTGAGCCCAGGAGAATAGCCAAAGGTCGAGAGAGATGGTTTATTTCTGCTTTTTCCTTACGTTGCCGTGCATTTCATAGGCTAAAGGTGGTCCCTTTTCGTAGTTTACTGGTTTACTTTTTGTATGACTTTGTTTGATGATCTTGTATCCTGGAATCAGATTATCTCGGGTTGAAGTTTGTGTATAAGAATCCGCTGCTGCAACAAGCTTGAGGTTCTCGGTTTATTGCAGCAGCATGGACAGTCTTGTCTCTCTTTGGTTGCTGGAATTTGTTTTAGTTGTTTGAAGTGTTTGGATTGCTGGTTGTTTGACAGAGTACCATGTGCATGCTTGCCGTGGATCCCTTGCTTTACATCTGTCTTGCATTTTCATATTTAGTCGCACTTTGAATATGTCGGGAGAGCAAAGAATGATTTCTGCTGTAACACGCTTGTAGTTTTCGACTTGTTGCCGTCATCCTTGTCACGGGAAATGTCGATCTTTTGGGTTGTTGTAATGAAAGCTTCATGCTCATTGATAGCGGCTCTAGGTATAATTCCCTTATGAATGTGCACAGCCCATTCCTTTCCTTTCACTGTGAATGCAATATGTGGGTGTGAGTATGCTGATTGCGTTAGAATCTGTTTTGTCCTTGATCAGAACTTCGAAAAGAACCTGAAGTTTTAAGGCTTCCCTGTTCTTTCTACAGCTTTCCGTGCATTTCTTTGGTTATACTTAAAGTTGTGTTTTGAATCTTTTGATGGGGAATCACGTATAAAGTCTATCAGTTTAAACAAAATTGCAGCAGGCTCCATTTTCCAAATTGCAGGAACTTTTCTCATGTTGTTTTTTGCATGAAGCTGCGTAGCTCTCATGTCTTGATTCCCTCAATAGTTCATAAATTGGGTTTCATCACTTTGTTAGCACATTTAACCTTGTGTCAATGACGATTGCCATCTCTCCGGATTGTTCACTAATTGTAAAGTTGTAGCAGAAACTCGCATAAGCAAAGGAAATTCCAGCTTTGACCGAAAGTTTTAGTTTGCATGCATGATAAGCTTAATAGGAATTTGAGTTTGAGTTTGTGGTTTGAGATGCTTGAGTGCATCTGCCATACGAAATGCTGAAGCTCAAAAGCATTGTTTGCCGAAGTTTACAACCATTGATGTTTTGCTAAGTTTCCTGTTTCGTTTGAATGAAGTTGCTAAGTTTTCTGTTTGTTTGGTCTGAATGAAGTTGGTTGGTTTGGAAAAATCTAATCAAGGTTGTGATTAAGAAATTTGGGTTTGAAAAGAAATTGCAGCAGATTTCATTTCGTTTGCTAGAGTACAAGAACATTGCAGGAACAAGTTTCTTCGTAGTTGCATGAACTTGCATGAAAAAGCTTTCAATAATTGCCTTTTAACCCCACATGTTTCTCCTCATGCTACAAAGGCCCAACTATGTTCTACTTTCTTGCGATTAAGTCCTAGAATAATTGCATTTTCAATCATTACTTGACCTTTTCTTGCTCTTGGACCTTTAAAGTTCTTAAAATGTTTCAATTGGCCTTGATTGATTGGTTAATGGTTACTATTGGGTCCTTAGTCATTTTTCTATTTTAGAAATTCGATCAATGATTCACTTTTGCTTGGAAATTATTCATTCTTTGATCATTTTTAAGTTGCAATTGAAGCAGGATTCGATGATTTGGTGGATTCAAATTGTCTTATTTACATTTTACCGTTAAATTGGTGCATTAATCCCTTGTTTTGATGGTTTTAGCCCAAATTATCTCTTCCTTTGGTGACTCTAGCCCAAGTTAAGTCTTGTTCACTTTACTAACATCACAAACGGGGAGGTATAACTTCTTCTATCCTTTTTTGTCTCTCTCCTATGTGATCCAACGTGCTAAGTGAGAATTGCTTGTCTACTAGCTTCCCTTACCTTTCCTTATTTCCTTTCATTTATTTCTTTTACTTTTGCCTTTATTAAGTTATTCTTTTATGGGGTATGTGTACACCTCTTGGCTTGTAATAGATAGGGCTTGGAGAGCATTTTTGTCCATTTTTCCCCTTCCCCTTTTTGTTTTAGTTAGCGAATGTAATAAGTTCATTAGATTGATTGCTTGCTTTTGTTGCTACGTGTTAATTTGCTTTATTAGGCTCTTGCATTTAGTCGAACATGCTAAGTGTTATGTGCTACGTGTTTATAGGTGATTGGCATGTCTACTTGCTTTCTATAGTCATGGATGAATGTGATGGATGAATGTACATCACCACACTAGTCCAACGCTAGTTGTGGCTCATTGTTCGTTTCCACTAGTCCAACGCTAGTAGGAATTCATAGATATGGGCTAGTCCAATGCTAGACCCAATGGACCGTCCTTCTTGTTAGTACATACTTGCACGTTTCACTACATTTCATGCATTTTTCTTAGTTTTTTTAGCATTTTGCATGCTTCTCCAACCCTTTTCCCTCATTTTAGGTTTTCGCATCCTCATGCTAGTTATAGGGTACATTTGCTTGAGAGTCCCCTTTCGGTAAGGGAAACGAGCGAGTGTGGCTACAAAATAGCCTTAGCACGCTAGTTCTTCCTTCTAATCAAAGGGAAAATTAAAATCATGAAGTTAGGAGTCATTCCCGTACCCGACTTGATGCATTCCTCTAGGTTCATACACACTCATTTTTTATCGTATCACTTCCTCACTTTCTTATCCACATTCTCTCACTTATATTTTTCTCAATCCACATGTCATGATTGTACATTTTTCTTTCCCTATCACTTATTTATTTTCTACCTCACAAATTGCACCCAATTGCACTTATATATTTACTACAATTATACCTTATTTTCATCCATTTGCACACAAACACCTTTATTTTCTCTATTGGCACACATGCACTTGCACACATGCACTTTTCTTACATTTGCACACTTACACTCATACTTGAGTCTTCATTTGCATTATTCATGACTTCTATGAGGGCTTTCCTTACTGGCCATCACAATTCATGTGGTTGGGACCAAAAAGCCTCATAAGAAACATCTTTAGATTTAGGATTGCATTTGTTTTCATATCCATTAGTCATATCCAACATGCAACACATACTTTGGGTAGAAAAATTAGAAAAAGAAGGGCTAAGTCACGCAACTAGCTTTGGCTAGGGTAAGGGAGTGCCTTAGGCTTTGCCTTTGCCTTCTCCCTTATCAAATGTGACCCCCGATCCCTTTTTTTGGTTACGTAGACCTAAAAGTTCTTTAAAAAAGGTTTGTTTGTTTTTCTTTCCAAAAAATTCATTTTTGGGTGACTTGGTACACCCTAACTCTATACCAAGTGGCGACTCCATTTTCCATTCAAAAACCCTTTTTGAACTTTGTTTGGCCAAACCGTCGCATTTCACAATCCCACGGCCTTTTATTTTCATTTTCACATACGTTCACATACATATCCCACACACTACTCACACACCTTCAAAAAGTGGGGCGCGACAGTTGGCCACTCTACTGGGGACTTCCTAAGTGGGTCCAAGCATTTGATTTAGCTATTCTTTTCCTTTTTCTACCCTTTTTATGTATAGCATTTGGATATTAGAGTTGCATTTTCCATTTTAGGACTTTTTTGCCTCGAGCGCATATTAAACTATTCCCTCACTCACGCATGTATGATTGGTTGTTTGGATGTATGTTGTACTTGTTTTATCTCGCGCTTTGCATTGCATTTGGGTGGGGGACATACCCTAGAGCCTTGCGTTGGTTCTCAATCCCTCCCCTCCAAACGAGCACTAGCATACGTGCATACGCTTTATTATTTATCCCTCCTTTATTTTTCTTTTAGTGGCTTGTCACGCCACTCCACCCTATTAGGA